GGAGGGTCTGAGGGAGGAGGGCCTGAGGGGGGAGGAGGGCCTGAGGGCGGAGGAGGGCCTGAGGGCGGAGGAGGGCCTGGGGGAGGGTCCGAGTAGGGAGGAGGTAGGGCTTCAGGAGCAAGCAGTCCCTTGCAGGCGGGGCACCACCCAGCCCACCCCAGAGCTGGGAGGGTGCTGTCTCCCTGTTCACACGTGGGGAGGCTGCACCTCCGCTGTGCACAGGCCCCTGTCAGAGGCCCCATGGATCCCCTAACAGGCCGACTAGTGGCGCGGGGGCCCCTTCATGCCCTGCTCCTTCCAGCTCAGCCTCTGGTCCCCGCACACCCTGCAGGCTCTCTCGTATGCAGGCAAGGCCCCGCCCACGTCTCCCTGGAGCCCCTGAGTTAGTGTCCGGGGCACAAGGCCACAAGTGAGGGCTTCCAGCAACGGGGATTCCTCTCCCACATCTGGAGGTCTGAGGATCAAGCTGTGCGCTGGGCCTCACTCTGTCCAGAGGCTCCAGGGAAGGGTCCTTCCTGCCTCTCCCCGTTGCTGGAGCCCCAGGCTGTCCTGGGCTTATGGGCACTCCACCCCACCTCTCCTGTCCCTTCCTGGACACCTGTCACGGGAGGTAGGACCCAGCAGAATATCCAGTATGCTTTCGTCTTGGCATCATTAATCACATCTGCAAAGACCCCATTTCCAAATAAGGTTACATCCTGGGGGTAAGGTGGGTGTGAACTTGGTGGGGGGGGGTAGGCAGGACAAAGGCCGGGCCCTGGTGGGGGGAGGAGCGTGCTCTCTACCAGGGTGGGGCTGAGATGGGCTGGACCCAGCGTACCTCCTTCTCTTTGTGGTCCATGCCCTTTTTGAGGAGAACCCCTGGGCTGCTAGGGGACAGGCCTGTCTCCCCATGCACTGGGCCCCTGCCCCAGCCACCCTCTCCCTGCCCTGTGGGGAGGTGACCCCAGCTCTCCCTCCCTTGCTCCGAGCCTGGTTCTTCCTGCCTTATCCCAGCGCTGGGTCTCTGACATGGCCCGTCCGTTTGTCTGGCCGCCTTCTGAGTCTGGGGACTTCTGGACATAACCTGCCCTCCCTCCAGGTTGGACCGCAGCGCCCCGCCCCTCTGCTGGCCTCTTTCTTCCTTTGAGCTCACCTTCTGTGACCCCCACAGCTGTGCCCTGTCTTGCTGGACCCCGTGGCCCCTTTCCTGGGAGATTGCTTCCCTGCCACCTTGGTTTTCATCGGTGCCCCCAGAGCCCCAGGGACAGGGGTTGCCGCCTGAGGAATGTGGGATGATCTGCGCAATCCAGGTGCTCAAGAAGAAGGGTCATGGCGCCTCCCCTCTGGACCCGTGGACACTCCCAGTAAGAAGAGGCAAGGGGCACTGGCTGGCGTCAGACCTTCCACCAGGCTGCAGGCGAGGCCCCTCAACCGGGCACTGGGCTCTGCAGGTGAGCTGTGGCGATGCAGCGCAGTGGAGGGGACCTGGGGCCTCCCATAAGCTCGCGGGCCCCCAGGGACAGCACCCTGGGGAAAGCAAGGCCTCCCCGCCAAGCTCTGACCCTGAGGTGCAGGCAGGGGCTCGGCCTCTGTGTCTGGGCGGGAGGGGACTGCAAGGGGACCGGGCCAGGGAGCAGCATGCCCGAAGGGCCATTCTTCCTGTGGTTGAAACCACCCTGATGCAGGCAGATGGGGTGGAGGCCTCGGAGAGAAGAGGGGGCTGCAGGGGCAGGCTAGGCTGGACGGGCCACTTTGCAAGCCTCCGGCCACCGCTGACCCCCAGGCCAGGAGCCCTGTCTGGACACCTGGGTCTCCTGTCTACCCTGGGCTCCGGTACAGTGGCCAGTGCATCTGGCTAGTCTTGCATACGCCTGTGTGTGCGCCAGCGCTGTCAGGGTGCTTGCTGGGCTCTCCCCCACCCCGTCTCTGGCCTCCTCCGGCTGACAAGCTCCTGCAGGTCCAGCCCAGAGCCTGAGGTGGAAGGCCTGGCCAGTCTGACCACATCAGCTGGGTGGGCAGAGACACCGCAGAGGCAGCAAGGTGCTTCCTGCCCGCCTGGGGCAGCAAGGAGGCCCAGGAGGTTCCAGAGGAGGGGCAGGGCCACCTGGGGTGAGGAGGGCCACAGGGCTGGGGCTCTGGCTGGGAGGCTGCTCAAAGGCACTCCCCGCCTGCTGGCCTGCAGTGGTGCTGTTCACAGGTGCGGCCGGAGGCAGCTCAGGACACACAGGTGGCCCTGGGGCGGGGAGGCAGGAGATGGCTGGGGGATTAGGTCAGAAGGCCCAGTTAGGTAATGTCTCAGACGGGGAAAGTATTCAGCTGCATCCCACCTGCTTTCCAGGCTGACTTCAGGGACTGAGGATGAGGTGGAGAAGGGGGTTGAGGGGGAGGAGGGAGACAGTGAAGAAGGGGGGAGGGAGGAAGAGGAGAGGAGAGGAGGAAAGGAGGCTAGCGCCTGGACAGGCCACAGCAGGGCCCCAGGTCCCCTCGCTGTGGGACCAGGGATGGGGGGGTGCCCTGGGACCTGTGGGACCACGGGAAGGAAGGCTAGGTGGGCCCTAGCCAGGCCGCACGAAGCAGGTGCTCCGGGGTCCTCCGAGAGATCAAAGAAGGA